TATTCATTGTATCTGGAACATCGAAAGTCCTTTTCTCCTTTTTGTACCTGGAAAGATGGGCGAGACTCTTGGTTTAAAAAAAAAAAATCCAGTAATCATTCATTTTTTCATCGGTGTTAATAAGTGCCGTTTTCTCTAGGTTCCATCAAATTTTCAATGCGTAGTAAACCTTTTTTTTTTTTGGAACTCATTGAATTTTAAGTTTGTCTTCATATAACATATGAGTTCCCTCATTGACCGTCATCCAAATTCGTTACAGAAATTTATTTTACATTTTCTTGTCAGATATTTTTATGTTTAATCTTTCTTGCTACTCTAATCCAGCAAATGCAACAAATCTTTGAACTAGTCAGAATTCCAGAAGTCGTTCAAAGAAAGTTTATTATAATAATAAAATAACGACAACCGGAATGATTATTATGAAAGGTCATTATGATAATAAAATAATAACTGGACTGATTATTATTTCAGCAACTCGCGATGAAGATCTAAAAATGTTGCTGGAACTACGAGAGCTCTCTAGTAAACAAAAAGAGCAAATAAAAGAATTACAAAAAGATATCAGTACTTATAGCTGTGAAGTTGAAAATGTAAGTTAACTCTTCATTAGTGTTTCGACTACTTATGAAATGAAAGAAAACAGCCAGCGCCTAGTATTATTTAAACAACAAGAATTTTGAAATTTCCAGCATTTGTATTTACCTGGAATCTTTTTGGATTTTTAATGCCTGCACAGTTTCTCTCTTCGTTGATCCATTTAACCTTCGTTAGATTTGAAAAGACCTGGATAACTTTTGTTGCTGGTGAAGTATTCGGTACCCTATTTTAATGCCGTGTTTTTAAAAATCGGAAGACTTCAGTGACTTCTATCCTACTTCTGTCACAATATAAATCTTCGTCTACTTCTGTACATCATAATTTTTATGCTAGAATCTATTATCTGTCTTTCAGTTGCACAACAGTGTTGAAAAATTGATTCGTCAAAATGAAGAACTTTTACGGAAGAATGCATCGTTACAAAAGCACGGAAGAATGTTGGTGGAAGAGAAAAGTGAAATTATTAAAAGACTGCAGCTAACTGAAGAAGCTAATATTAAGCTAACGAAATTATTCAAAGATGCTACTCGACAATGCAAAGATTTGCAGCAATGTCAAATGGTATCTTTTATCTTTTTCATGCAATTTTTGGCAAAAGTTTACGTTTCGAACATGTTGTAAGACATGCGCTCCCATATGTCTACACGATTTTTCCCAATTCGGAAAAAGGTTTTATGATATGTCTTCACACCAACTTTTCGAAAATTCTTGTTCGCAACTAGGTCTTTCCGGTTCAATTCGTTCCCAAGCAGGGCATTTTTTTTTAACAATAATCAGTTTACCTTTGTACATGGAAGCTGTGATTGACGGTTGGCAAAAATCAGAATTTCAGGTTATCTTATGTTTTTCCATATTTCTTTTAGTGAAGTATTTCCAGGATGACAGTGATAATGCTCCTAGGTTCACTTTGTCAGAGCTACGTGAAGTACTGCAAGAGAAAAATTTGCTGAAAGGCAAAGTTTTGGAATTGGAAGAGGAGCTTGAACAATTGCGACCATCACGCAGACGGGAATCTGTTGCAAGTGACTCCAGCAGAGAATTTGATAGGTATCTTCAAAAATTTCGGGTTTAATGAAGGTTTAATTTAATTTGAAGAATACCTTTTTTAATGTTGTCTCAAAATATGGTTATAAAATAACAGTGATAGTGCAATGAAATGTAATGGGGAGACCATTCAATTATGTAAAGATCAACCGTGTGATTTGTTTTGAAATTTTCATCAGTGCAATTTCAGATCTGTTCAAACAGAAGAATATGTTGTTTATGGACCAATCAACAGAGAGCCTGAAGAGAAATTGTATCCGTGGAAATATGAGCGAAAAGAAAGCGGCGTGCGAAAGTTGTATGCTTTACTTTATAAAAAGTTACAGAAGAAGTAACTATGTTTTTCAATTGTTTCATATGCAGCTTACACTATGGAAGGACGATAAAGACTAGTTAACATGAAGTCTTGAGAATCTGCCGATTATTAAAGAATCTCGTGGAAGTTATAAAAAGGTATTTTGAAACTTTAATTCCGGATCTTTTTGTATGAAACATGAAAGTTTGCTGTTCATGATATAATCGATAATGTTTTTGATGGTATTCATGGGGAACTGTTGATTCCTAAGCACTGTTTTTGCACTTTGTTCAGAATTTGGAGAGGGCATGTAGGATTAGTCTAGTTCAGTTCGTGAATTAGTTCCCTAATAAATCAAATAGTACACAAGCTAGCCATTAAAGGACTGTAATTAGATATATCACCGAAGTAAACTACTTAAACTTGCAGGTTTTTGTTGAGACTGTGGATAATTTAATGAGTTGAGTGAAGTTTATAAAAGTTATAATTGCAGTTTCCGATTTTTCTTCAATAAAGAGGGCTTCAGTAGCGGTGGCTATAGTCCTGTGTATGCCTCCAGCAGTCCAATACCGTCAATGCGCTCGATGCCATCGTTTTCTGGTCAAGCAACTTAATTCATACCTGTCTTTTGCACATTTGATTGCTTATTGATATGCTTTGTGGTCTTCCTATTGATTGTTTCCATTTATTGCTTTTATGTTTTTTCTTGTCTGAATGTGAATGAAGTTTCGAAACTTAACAAATTGTAAATTTTTTGCGATTTTTCGTCCCTTTGCATTAATATAGCCGACCAAATATGTTTAATTGAAGAAACTTGATGGAAAAAATCTTGTAACAGATAGCAATATTTGGAAGAAAGAGAATGGCCATACTTGAAATTATGACATTCTTCGGTCCAATAAAGAATGTCTTGAAAGAGAGGAAAAAAGTAGGACAGAATTTATAAACTTTGGTAAGGGAGTTTAATAAATGTTACAACTGATAGCTACTTTTACTGTTTTTGAATATTATTTGTTAAGGATTATGAAACCAGATGTTGGTGGCTGTCATATTTTACATTTGTGTAGTATTCCTTCAGGATACCACAGAATAAGCTTATTTCATGTTGCATGTATTTGTACGTTTTGTGGGATATGTGGTTTTTTCAATGAAGTTTATACAGAATTCTAGAATTTATAGGTATAGGTTTTCAAGCTTAAAGAATGTAAAGATAATTTATGATCTGTAAATAAATATATATATTTTGATAAGCATAAATGATTGCAATAATTGCCTGAGAGGATTCATC